ACTGAGTTTTATAAAATAAATGCGCAATAAATACGGGTCAGACAAGATGACTGATAGATATCTTTTTTTACTGGACAAGATGACTGATAGATATCTTTTTTTACTGGACAAGTTTTAATCAGTGGAAAAAATTTCTGCTGCTTCAAGGAACAAGGAGGCAATAAAAATCAAATTGGCAACAAATATCAAATTGGCTGACAACAGCACTGACACATTTTACTTGGGGCACAAGCTAGTAAAAAAGTTTATCATGCTGTGGCAAACAGCCACTGAAAAAAAATTTATAATTTAGATATGTTAATGATATACATTCAAGGTTCCTGGTAGTTTAAATATATATATATATATATATATATATATATATATATATATATATATATATATATATATATATATGTATATACACATATATATACACACTTACTAAATATATATATATATATATGTATATACATATATATATATATATGTATATACACATATATATACACACTTACTAAAGCGTGTTTTGATAAGCCTTTGCTCACTTTTTCTGCTTACCTTAAGCTATACCCTTTTTTTTCGAAAAAGAAGAAGAAAAAACGAAGAATGATGAATGAAACGATTGCTTCCCCATCCCAAACCGTCAGTCGATGTAGCAGCACTCCACTGCCACTGCGAGTTAGGCTATTTGTCAGTCGATGTATGTACTGAAGCCCCCAGCGGCAGGCTATTTCAGTATGACGTCAGATTGCTTAACTATTATACGCAATACTATTTGTATATATATATATATATATATATATATATATATATATATAATATATATATATATATATATATATATATATATATATATATATATATACACACAAAATCTTTGTCTTCTAAGAAAGTATATCTGCATGACTGCATTAAATGTGCAACTTCGTGATTAGCAAAATTTCTTTATTTGAAAGATCCTAATAGAGAGATTTACGCAACTTTTGTAACTGGTTGTCAAATATTTAAATGAACACCAAAGGTTTTCCAATAACTGAAACCAAATAACTATTAAACCAAGTCATATCAAGTGTTCTAAATCTACTAGTCATAGCAAGGTTTCACACTAAGTAGATTGATAAGACAAAGCAACTGTGTCTTATCCAAAAATAAATGTCCACAGATGAAAAATTTAAATGTCCACAGAAAAACAATTGAGGTAAAAAAATTTATGCACAATATTGCATTGAATGTAATACAAGCTCATAACAATTTTCTTTAAGTTTTTATAACTTTAAACTAGAATTAACAAATTTTTGACTAAAAAAAGTGTCTCCTTTTTTTCAAAGAAATAAAGCTTAAGTAGAAATCTACTAACTTTATTAGCAAAAACACTTTTTTTTTAAATAACTGAACACTTTGCATACAAACTCATTTTGCTGCAAAAATATCAATTAGTCTTCTAACAAAAAATTATAAAATATTAAGGAAGCACACAATAAAATATAAGGTTGTCAATGTAATCTCATAAGGTTAATAATGTTACTTTTTATGTAAAAATAACAGACATTTGATATGCAATGATACGTAAAAATGTTACATCACGTTACATCAAAGTACATACATTACATCTTGTTATGTAAACATTTTATGTAACAGTTTCATAAAATTATGCCTCGTTATGTAAAAATGTTATGTCTTGCCACGCATGATTAACAGACATTATGCATGTATTGTAACCTGGTTTCATTACATATATATATATATATGCCTATATATATATATATATATATATATATATATATATATATATATATATATATATATATATATATATATATATATATATATATATATATATATATATATATATATATATATATATATATATATGTCTATATATATATATATATGTCTTTATATATATATATATATGTCTTTATATATATATATATATATATATATATATATATATATATATATATATATATATATGTCTTGCCACGCATGATTAACAGACATTACGCATGTATTGTAACCTGGTTTCATTACATAACAAAATATTAAAATGTTATACGGGTATATATATTTATATACATATATATATATATATATATATATATATATATTTTTTTTTTTTAACATCTTCACTTCCAACAAGGCTGCAAGCAACCACTATAAGAGTTGGAAGTTACTGGAAGAGAAAAGACTAAATCTGTAGAGCAAGATAACGATTGACTGATGACTTAAAAGATTGCAAATTATATGAATCAGGAAAACAAGATGAAGGAAGCGAATTCCAAAGAACTGATGTTCGAGGAAAAAAACTAGAAGAATAAGAGTTTTTGAAGCACTTAGGAACAGTCACAGAAAAAGGATGAGACTTAATTGAATGGCGAGTAACACGAGAATGAATTTTAGTAGATGGCACAAGGGACGCTAGCTCTTTAGAGCAGTGCCTATTATAGTATTTGTAGAAAAGAGAAAGAGAAGCAACATTACGACGATGTGACAAAGGTTGGAGATTGGCTGCCAGAGCAGGTCCAACTATGTTTACAATTCGTTTTTGCACCTTGTCTAAAAGAGAAAGAGCATCATTAGAAGATCCGCCCCAGATGTGGCAACAGTATTCCATACAGGGACGGATTTGAGATTTATAGAGATAGAGAATAGAATCTGGAGTAAGAAAGTGTCGAGCTCGATAAAGAGATGCAACCTTAGCAGATGCTAATTTTGCAATGGATTTGATATACGGTTTAAAAGAAAAATCAGAAGTAAGAGTTAATCCTAGAAGATGAATGGTAGATGACTCATCTAGTACATTACCATTCATAAATATAGGAAGATCTAAATTATTACGATAACGATTGGCCGAATAAAATTGAGTTTTATCTGAATTAAAGTTCACCAGCCACTGTGAGCCCCATGCTGTAGCAGAAGTGAGATCCTTTTCAAGCTCAGATACCCCCTCCAAGCAATCAGAGAGTGTAGGCTTCTTATCATGACAAGAGTAAATGGTAGTGTCGTCGGCGAATAATGCCACCTTAGATGTGAGAATATCTGGAAGATCGTTAATGTAAATTAAAAAGAGTATAGGGCCAAGGATTGAACCTTGAGGAACCCCTGAAGTTACAGGATGTGAAGAAGAGTGTTGTCCATCGAGGACAACTTTTATACTACGATTGGAAAGAAAGGACTCAATAATCTTAAAGACGTTACCAGCTACACCATAAGAAGAAAGCTTATGGAGAAGACCAGCATGCCAAACTTTATCAAAAGCTTTAGAAATGTCAAGTGCGATAGCCTTAACCTCTCCACCTCTATCTAATGCACGGTAAAACCTATCAGTTATTACTGTTAGCACATCAGCTGTAGAACGAGAAGACCGAAATCCATATTGATGATCAGAAAGTAAGTTATTTGATTCAAGATGAGAGATTAAGTGTTTGTTGATTAAAGATTCAAAAACCTTGCTTATGACAGGAAGAAGACTAATGGGACGGTAGTTAGATGAATCAGATCGCTCTCCGGAATTTTTGAAAATAGGGATAACAGATGCTGCTTTCCAGCATGATGGAAAACAAGACTCTGATAAGCACTTGTTAGTATATATATATATATATATAATATATATATATATATATATATATATATATATATATATATATATATATATATATATATATATATATATATATATATATATATATATATATATATATATATATATATATATATATATATATATATATATATATATATATATATATAATATAAATGCATGTTTAGATAAGCAGTGATAAGTTGAATTTAGATAAGGCATCAAACTGAAATGATCTGAGGCCAAGGGTTTCATTTGAACTCATCTTCTACATTTTGTTGCAAAAATATCAATTAGTCTTCCATCTTCTACATTTGAATATTTACTTTGTTTTAATCAGTGGAAAAAATTTCTGCTGCTTCAAGGAACAAGGAGGCAATAAAAATCAAATTGGCAACAAATATCAAATTGGCTGACAACAGCACTGACACATTTTACTTGGGGCACAAGCTAGTAAAAAAGTTTATCATGCTGTGGCAAACAGCCACTGAAAGAAAATTTATGTAATGCAAAAGTGAAAAGTGAAAAACTAAAGGTTTGTATATGTGCATTTTTACTCAAATATTCAATTGTAATATTTATTATGAAAAAGCAAATATTAATATTAAATTGTAAAAATCTATTTGAATTTGTCTGTTTTATTGAAAACCTTTAATAACTATAACTTTAATAGTAAACAACATTTTGTCAGCTAGGAACTAAACACCCACAGTTTGATTTTTTTTTAATTTTTTTTTAGTAATTTAAGTTAAATTTGGATAGGTAAAGATTTTTTGAATATGTAAAGAAAATTTAGAATATTTAAAGAAAATGGAAAAATTTCTATTATTTGTGTAAATCAGTGGACACAAAGAACCCTAATTATTGATTTTTTTGTTGTTGTTGTTATTGTTGATAATAAACAAACAAAAATGTGATGTTGTAAAGCAGCCCATCTTCTCAGTCATAATTAAAAAATTTAATATCCAATGAAAACTATTAAAAAACACTTTTTCTATTTTCTCAATCAAAGTTTCTTTCTACATTCATTTTGGCTAATTGAAACATTTATTCCGGCTAATTTAGAATTTTTTTTTCTCAGACCATAAGAAATATCTTTATGTTAAATTGAAATGTTAAACTGTTAAATTGAAAAAAAAACTTAGACCCATAATGGATTCAAATTTAATGGAATAGTATGAATATTTCAAATGTGGTTTTTTATTATTTATATAAATTTCATGTTACTCCATGAACTTACACTTAGCACACTATCCATTACTCACTTTCCCTCCTAAGCACACATGACCTCCTAAGCACACACTTCCTACCCACCACCACCTAATAAAAAAACTCAATTACTTTATTTAATAGATGGATTTTCTATTTTTTCAAAATAAAATGAAATTAAAATCAATTATTTCACAAAACAACTTGTCAAAATTTAGTTTATTCCTACTTTTTAATAGTTTGACCAACATCTATAGCTGCTAATGCCATAGCAATATTATTTCTTTTGTTCTCCATGAAACCATCAACTCGATATTGAAAATATGGAGCCAACTGATTTGCTTTACAAAGAAGAACCTACATAAATAAGATCTTAGATAAAACGTTAAGGCAAATATAATAAACATAAGTGAGCAATATATTAAACATATTAGTTTGATGGATAACAACTTGATATAATATTAGTTAGATTAAATAAACATATTAGATATTAGCAAAACAAAATGTCTCATTTTGCCCTGCAACACGGGATTCAAATTAAATAACTTCAAGGCCATTTTGTTAATAAAATAAAATATGGGTGTATGAGATGATAGAGTAATGTTTAAAGACGACTAAAATTTTAAATATAAAATTACTTTAAACAATGTGAGATCTGTGAGAATTGTGACTGGCATCTTAATAAATGTGATCTGCATCATTATAAATTACCCTAATTACCAGTGTTACCCAAATTACCTGCATTACCTGCTACTGTTTTTTTTTTTGTCAAAAACAAATCTGTTTTCAACAAAATTTGCAAAAACAAAAGAAACTATTTTAGGTTTAAAATTAAAACTTTCATTTAATAAATATTTTCAACATTAACATTTTATTCTTTTGAATCCCAGGGTAGCATAGTTTAAAAAAAAAAAAATTCACTTATTATTTTGACCTGTTAAAAATTATCAAGAACTTATCTAAATAATTAAAAAAAAAAAAAAAAAAAAAGCTTATTTTTTTAATAAAAAACAGCGATTTGCAACTCAGCCAAATCTAATTTCAAAAATTTTGACATTTTTTAAAATATAATGATAAATTTTAAATGGTTAAATGTTTAAGTGAGAATGTAGAAAAATCAATAGATTTTTTATAAAGTTAAGTAACTGAGCGATATATAATCAAATTACAAATTATATTATATATATGCCAGGTTTTATTTGAAATAAAAACTTGCCTAATACTACTCAAAACTTTTGCTTTAGTTTTGTTTTGTAATAAAGTTGTGACTTTCAAGTCACAACTTTATTTATTTACAGCTAGTGTGATTTATGCATTGAAACAGTTATTTGCAAAAATAAGTTGGTGTATAGTTATTTTGTAGGTGTTTGTCAAGTTTGTTTTTAAACTGATTAAAGCTATGAGAATTCACTACTTCCACTGGTAATTCATTCCATGCAGTTGCTGCTCAATTAAGGAAATAATTTTTTCTAGAAGCACTTTTTAGAAAACTATAATTTAAGTGTTTAACTTTTGTTATAAAAAATATGCGCTTTACTTTAAAATCAAACAACAAAAATTGCACTTTACTTAATACTTAATTTACTTTACAACAAAAGTAGATGAGTAATGTCTTTTACTAGAATCATTTTGACTGCATAAAAAAGTTTTAACATCATATTACAGTTTAAATTATGATGTTGTTTCAGTTCCATGATTAGGCAGCAATTAAATAACCTAGTGGTAAGTGACAATAATTAAATTTAAAAACTTTTTAATTGAAGAAACTACTTAATTTTACAAAGATTGCTTGTTTTTTAAATTTATTACAATCATTTAAAACAATGTTATAAGTATGTGACACAACAATAAATTTTTTTGCAAATATCTACTTTGCTCTGAGGTTAATGCTCTAATATGGTTGCATTTTATTATGCACAATAAATATACTAATATACTAGCTAATATAGTATAATACATATTACTGTAATATATGATAATATGTATATTACTTGTATATTAGTTTAATTTGTGGAACAATAAATAAAGTGAATAAAAAATAATTTGTAGATTATTTTAAGAAAATAGTAAAATAGTTTTTTTTTTTCAAATGGCCCAAAATAAAAGGCTTAAGGCTCTTGTGGGATTCCCACATAGCCTTTGGGGCCAGCATGCCCATGATAATAGTGCTGTGCAAATTTAAACCCGCAGTAGTAAATGTAAACTTTTGTATCATTTGAAAAAAATATCTGTACCTTTGTATTGTTTGAAAGTTCAGAAAACTGAAAGTCTTCAACGTCACTTAAAAAAAAATCATAACTAAAGAGATATTTTTTAAACTGAAAAAAATTAAATTCAAAACTTTTTTATATATAAAAATTATTTTTAAGTTTATGCATAATCAATTTTATAGTTTGTGCAAAACTTTTTAATGTTGGTTTATTTTTATGACCTAAAGATTTTTTGTGACTTGACTAACTTTTAATATGTTATTAGGTTGATGCATAATTATTGGATTTTTTTTGAAGTCTGTATTCATTTATAATTCAGTATTTATATATAATAGTGTAGCTAAAATATGCGCAATGATTATGTATCAACCTAATAGTATGACATCTAGTGAATACTTTTGGCCAATCTAAAGTAAACTTGCACTAAGAAAAAAAAAAAAAAAAGATATAAATAAAATGAACATACATCATATGTGGTTCTATACCTGGCTGCTCAGTGTAGTTCTACAAAAAATTTTAAATTAAAGTGTTAAAATCATCAATATAAAATAAAAATAGAAATTAAGTAATTATGAAAAATTCTTACAAAATAATTTGAAAAAACTTTCTTGGCCCATAAATTTCTATAGTTTTCTGGCAGGTCTTCATCAAAGCGATAGTTTTTTAATGGTTCATCTAGCTTTCTATTTAGGTATCGATAGAAATCTATAAAACATAAAAAACTAAGTTCCCATGACTCTTTTTATTATAATATTTAAGCAAAAATAATACATGTTTTTTTCCTAGTTTATTGCTTGCAAGTTCTGAAAAATTTGCAGCTGCTTGAAAAATGGAATCTATATTTCTATTTTGATTAATTCATTGATACTGCTTTATATTGATATTGATAACATATATTAAATATAACTTACTCATGCATATATATATATATATATATTTACATATATATATATATATATATATATATATATATATATATATATATATATATATATATATATATATATATATATATACATATATATATATATATATATATATATATATATATATATATATATATATATATATATATATATATATATATATATATATATATATATATATATGAAGAGTGTATTTTCAAAATGCGGTATATCCATTTTTGTGGTATTGAGATAATTGACTTTTTTCGCCACATGTCTCATATATTTGGAAAAATTATTGTTTCTTAATGTATATATACATAAAGTATATTATATAATGTTAATAAATAAAATATTATTAAATAAAAAAATTTATTTTTTTTGTCAATAAGTTTGCATTTATTTTCAAAATACTGTATATCCAATTAAAGCTTGTAAGCAAAATGCGGTATATCCATTTTATAAAGATGTTATGGAAAGTTTTTAAACTTTAAAAGACCTGAATAAGTTTTAATGATTAATTTTATTTAACATATTGAACAAATATGTGTATTTAATGTTTGGTCATTATATTTTATTGATAATGTGAATGTAAACAATGTTTTATTAAAGTAATGTAAACTATTACATTTCACAATTCGCAATTGTATATTTATATTTGTTTCGGAGAGTTAAATATGGACAATAAACAATAATATTTTTTTAGTGTTGTGTAGTTGTAACAATGATGATTACTATTTTTAAGTCTCCATAGAACTAATGGACAATTAATATAACATAAAAGTCATCGTTATATTTTTGAACGGAATAAAATTTTAAAAATGAAAGACTGCAATAGCCTCATTTTATTTGCAACAAAGCAATTGTCAGTTTAACAAAAAATAAAAAGGAAGTATTATTATTGAATGCTTTCCATTAAAAAAGGTAACAAATATATTTAAACTTATTAATTTAAGTTGCTTTTTTAATATATTTTCTGTCATTATTCCATAATTCGTTCAGTTAAACAAATAAAGCATGGTAGTTTAAACGAACACTAGAATTAAGAAATGCTTTTCTTTTCGTTTGTTTCATACATCATATCTTTTTTTCTATGTGAAATAGGATAATAGGTAACGCATTAATCTTGTCCATTGCAATCCGCCATTTCTTTAACGCAACTTTAAAATATTTGCGCTTGCGCAGAAGTAATATACATTTGCCACGGATTGGTCAAAATTAAATACCGCATTTTGAAAACAAATAAAAAATTTTATACCGCGTTTTGAAAATAAATGTTTTTTAGAAGTAAAAAAATATTGGGTTATACTTCGTTTAGCATATATTCGGACACAATGTCTGCTAGGTTCTTATAAATTAAAAATAAACCACACAATTTCTAAAAAATTTTTTAAATGGCGTTTACCGCGTTTTGAAAATAAACTCTTCATATATATATATATATATATATATATATATATATATATATATATATATATATATATATATATATATATATATATATATATATATATATATATATATATATATATATTAATCAATCAGTTCAGACGTCATTCTGTGAAACATTTTAATAATGAAACAATAATGAAAAATAATAGACATAATTTGATAATTTTTCAAGAAGTTTGATAATCAAATTATAAAATAAAATTATCTTACATATTAAATTATATATCTATATTTATCTACCAATATCTAAATATCTAATTATATATATATATATATATATATATATATATATATATATATATATATATATATATATATATATATATATATATATATATACATATATATATATGTATATACATATATATATATATATATATATATATATATATATATATATATAATATATATATATATATATATATATATATATATATATATATATATATATATATATATATATATATATATATTATGACACACACACACACACACACACACACATAATAAAATATAATTATATATTTTAAGTTTATAATTTGATAATCAACCTTCTTAAAAAGAATTGAAAAAAAAATTATTAAACATAAAATACCTCTTAAATACAATGGTTCCCCATAATCTTGGTTGCATCCACCTGACAGCATAACCTTAAATAATTTACAAAACCATAATTAACTTTTTACTTATTAGTTAATTTAATGACAAACATACTAGACATGACAAATCTAAATTATCAAAAGATTTTAAATAACACTAAAGTGACTTACTTTAGTCATTGCTTTTACAGCATTAAAAAACTGTCCTACAGAAGCAAAAGCTACAGATTTCATAAACATGCATCCAGTGGAGGTAGGATCCAAACGAATGCAAGACTAATTTTAAAAAATTTTAAAATTATGATATAAAATGTGACTAAAATGCGCCATAAATTTCTTTCAGGGCAAGGAATGCAACAGAAGAAAAGAAAGTTTCAAAAGGGGGTAAAGAAACTACTTTAAACAAAAACTCTATAATTTAAAAAAACTCATATTTTTGATTACGATTTTTAAATTTTGTTGAAAGCTAAAACCAACAGCTTTCTATACTCTATTTTCTATACCACAAAGAAAGTCTAGCTTTAAATAAAATAAAAAAGTCTAGTTGAAAGATAAAATGTTACATTCTATCTCACAAAAAATTAAAATTTATTCCAATTTGTTTATGGGACTTTAAACAAATACAAAAAAACCAAACCTTGTAGAAATGAATGGCTTCTTTTGGCTGTCCACTTTGAAAGTAGACATCTCCTTTGGTCTCTAAGGTCTGCATTAAATCAAATATAATTATGAAAGTTACAAAAATAATGAACATAAAATCCCAATCCCAATAAAAAAAATCTGTAAATTGATACAGAACACTAAAGTACAAAAAACACATTCTAATTAAATAAAAAAGTTCCATAATAAAAACTTAAATTCTGTGCAATAGAACAATTTAAAAAAAAAAAAAATCAATTTTCTTTAATTGTTAGTCTCTCCTTTTTTTTCTTCTTCTTCTTAAAAGTTTAAGCAGCTTAACAGTATCAACTAACAGTACTGAACTTTAAAGCATTATGTATGTTTACGTACGTTTATGTATTAAACTTGCATTTCTGCATAGGTCTTGGCTAGTTTGGTTATGTTAAAAACATTTTTGCTTTGTGATATTTAAATAAGTTCAATAAACAAAGTAATTTACAAACTAAACATTGTTACAAAAATATATAAAAATAAACATCATTGTTACAATCATTTGAATGACAACTATGTAAAATATACTTATTATTTATAGAATATATATTAACTTATTATTATAATAGGATAAAATCAGATAAAATTAAAAAAAAAAAAATTTGATTGCTAGATTATTTTAAGATGTTAAATTTTATTAAGCTAATTTTTTTAATCGAAATAAAAGGCAACAGAAAAAAAATTGTTATTTGTTTCAATACAAAGACAATAAAGGAAAAATAATACAAAAATTTAAGTTTTTTTTTTTATCATCTAGCAAGTAGTAAGCAATTAAGGCTGATATTTGACCGCGGCTGTGTTTGATACACCATAGCCAGGGCTAGGGTCGGGGTTATGGCTGGGGCTACCTAAATGTTGGCAAACCCTATAGATGAAATAAATATTTTATCTTGGATTGAAAATCACATTATGTTTGTAAATAGATATAGATGAATATATATATATATATATATATATATATATATATATATATATATATATATATATATATCAATTGATAATTAATGTTGTATTACAATAATAATAAAAAACTCTATTTCGGTTAAGAGTGCTCAATAATAAAGAAAGTAAACAACTTTCTAAATAGAGCAGTATATATATATATATATATATATATATATATATATATATATATATATATATATATATATATATATATATATATATATATATCAATTGATAATTAATGTTGTATTACAATAATAATAAAAAACTCTATTTCGGTTAAGAGTGCTCAATAATAAAGAAAGTAAACAACTTTCTAAATAGAGCAGTATATATATATATATATATATATATATATATATATATATATATATATATATATATATATATATATATATATATATATATATATATATCAATTGATAATTAATGTTGTATTACAATAATAATAAAAAACTCTATTTCGGTTAAGAGTGCTCAATAATAAAGAAAGTAAACAACTTTCTAAATAGAGCAGTATATATATATATATATATATATATATATATATATATATATATATATATATATATATATATATATATATATATATATCAATTGATAATTAATGTTGTATTACAATAATAATAAAAAACTCTATTTCGGTTAAGAGTGCTCAATAATAAAGAAAGTAAACAACTTTCTAAATAGAGCAGTATATATATATATATATATATATATATATATATATATATATATATATATATATATATATATATATATATATATATATATATATATATATATATCAATTGATAATTAATGTTGTATTACAATAATAATAAAAAACTCTATTTCGGTTAAGAGTGCTCAATAATAAAGAAAGTAAACAACTTTCTAAATAGAGCAGTATATATATATATATATATATATATATATATATATATATATAATATATATATATATATATATATATATATATATATATATATATATATATATCAATTGATAATTAATGTTGTATTACAATAATAATAAAAAACTCTATTTCGGTTAAGAGTGCTCAATAATAAAGAAAGTAAACAACTTTCTAAATAGAGCAGTATATATATATATATATATATATATATATATATATATATATAATATATATATATATATATATATATATATATATATATATATATATATATATATATATATATATATATATATATATATATCAATTGATAATTAATGTTGTATTACAATAATAATAAAAAACTCTATTTCGGTTAAGAGTGCTCAATAATAAAGAAAGTAAACAACTTTCTAAATAGAGCAGTATATATATATATATATATATATATATATATATATATATATATATATATATATATATATATATATATATATATATACATACATACATATAAAACTTGTTATACTTTTTTCTGCTTTAAATACTAATTAAAATTGAAAAGCCCACTCACTAAACATCATCAGAGATATTGTGAAGCAGTTTCGCTTCATTGTCATAAAGTTTTTTTTAACCTTTTTAGTTGATTTCTATCTTGATTATTTGATTTCTATAGTAATTTAATGATTTAATTATTTCATTTGTTAATCTTAGAAGAATTGCTTCAAATATGTTAAACTTTTCAAACTACGCGAAAAATAAAATAGGTATTAAAAAAATTAATTGTTTTATTTATAAAATAATTTAGCTTAAATAAAACTAAAACTTGCAAACTTTGTTAAATAAAGAATATTTGTAAGTTGTTACTTTATATAAAAAACATCGCTTAATTTTATAAAAAAATTTATAAAAGAGTGATGTTTCAAAAATATTTGTTTTAAATGTAATTTATTTAGCTTTAGGTTTTTTCGCGTTTAAAGATATTTTATTTTAATTTAATTTTTTTTTTTTTTGTAATTGTCTCTCATCAATCCAATTAATCTTTAGCACTTTTTTTTTTTGCTTTTTAAAATGCTCTCAAAACGACTAAAAAATCTGGCCAGTTTTGTGCAACTAAATATTATTTACGTGGTCAGCAACCGAGAGCGATCGCTCCCGCTTCCCAACCAAGCCTGATATATATATAAAATATAAATATATATACATAATATAAATATATATATGTATGTATATATATATATATATATATATATATATATATATATATTTATATATATATATATAAATATATATAAATATATATAAATATATATATATATATATATATATATATATATATATATATATATATATATAACATAAATATAAAATATCCTAGCCCCAGCTAATAACCATTGTTAGAAGTATTTTTGAGGCCGATGTAAGATTTTAAAATTACTGCGTTAAAATTTTACTGCACGGAAGTTTTCAACCGCTCAAACTCTTTTTGCGGTAAATTATAACGTTAAAATATTGCTGAGACAGTAATATTTTAACCTTATAATTTTACTGCGCTCATTATAATTTTACTGTCATCAAGTAAAGATTTTCCTTTATTGTGCGACAAAATCTTATCTAAGAATAAATTAAATAGCCTAGCGATCCTTTAAATCACTTCTATAGAGTTTTATTACAAAAAGTTTATTTAAGTTCTTTTAAGTTATAAATAATATGCAACCTTGAGCAAACTATTTATTTTTTTATAACAAACAACATGTAAAACAATTGATATACAAACATCATTTTAGTTCAGTATAAACATCATTTCATTTACAAAGCTTTTAATGACAAAACAACATTATAATGATTGTTTTTATTTTCTAAAAGAATATTACGAGCTGTTAGTTGGTCAAGTTTCATGGATGCTGGATATTTGAGCCTTGCCAGTTTTTGTCCATAGAAGGACTATACAGCAATGTCAATTCCAAAAAGATTTGCAATACCAAGGATCTCAACATTTGTAGCCATATACTATCTGTGGCCGTACCACCTTTGGTAATGTAGTTTTCTATATCATCACCTAAATATCCTGAAAAAAGACTGGAACAAGATTTTGATACCATATGTTTAACGACAACATCGCAAACATGTATATGTTGACACTCAAAACCCGCCAGCAAAAACAAAATTGTTCGAAGAAAACTATTGCCATCACCTTTGCAAACATGTATTTTTGAAAGTACATTATTTTCATCTCCACCAAAAAGATCTGGTATTATAAATATTTTAAGTCCTTGTTCTTCAGCTATTTTTTGGAGAATTTCTTTAGAGTGATGTTTCATTAATTTGGAACTACATTGACTTTTATCCTGATTGTTGCACTCAGAAGTTAAACTATGCAATTTTGAATTACTTTTCTCTTCAACAAATGGTTTAACATGATGTAGAAAGTACTTCTTCTTTAATGTGTTGTTCCCTTTAATGTTTCTTAATAAATATGTCAAGTTTCATAATAAACTTTAATTTAATATAAACTTTAATAAAATTTAATATAAAATAAAAATAAACTTTAATAAAAGTTTCTTAATAAACAAGTCATTTTTCCACCTTTTCTATTTTCTCTTTTTAGATTTCTCAATAGAACTTTTTTGACCCACAAAACAATTTGATGGTGTTGCATGCTTTCTATCATAGTCTATTTTTTGTTTCTTTTGTGCACAAACAATATTGGTCATGGCTTTTTCTTCAAGTCCTTATTTCATTTGAAAAGTTTTTTGTAAGTTATCCCCATCGAGTGCATCTGTGTACTTTACATCAATTGGAAGACAGGGCTGTTGGTTATACATAAAGTAAAATGGTGAATACCCCATTGAATTGTGCACTTTAACAGGTAAAGCAAAAAAGATTCCATCTAAAACCGAGGCCCAACTTTTAACATTTTCATTTAAGACCTTAATAATTGCTTTCTTAGTTGTCTGGTTCTGTCTCTCCACAAGGCCATTGGCTTGTGGATGGTAAGCAAAGGTTACACGTTGCTGAATGCCTGTCATATCATGTAGTGCGATGGATACTGAATTTACAAATTCACGACTTTGCTCATTAATTTGTATTTGAAAATAACCATGCCTGCAAATAACTCTATAAAGAAAGGCTGCTACTGATACTGCTGTTTTGTCGATAAGAGGCTCAGCTTCTGTCCACTTTAAAAAATAATCTATAAGGACAATTACATAATTGAATCCATTTGATTCAGGTAATTTAATTAAATCTACACCAACTTGTTTCAAAAGTTGTTGTTCTACTTTAACAGGTTTTAAAGCAGGAGACACTTTTAGGTTTCTGTTATAGGTTTTTTCGCATCGTTTACATTGAGCTACATATTTGGTGATATCCTCTACAATTAAATGCCAAAAAAATCTTGAAGAATTTGCTTTCTCACAGCATTAATGCCTAAGTGGCTAGCTAATGCAACAACTTTCTCAGAAGTTCCAAGACCCTCATGGACTTCTTTGACAATGTTTAATTGTTCTTACCGATCTATTACCTACAATGAAAAAAAATTATTTGTATGAAATTTTTACATTATTTTGAGTTGTTTTAAAGCTATAAACTTTTGAATTTAAAAATGTTGTGTTAATTCACAATAAAGCGCAAAACAGAATATTGCTTAATTACTTTATTTTATTTAAGTTAAACCTTTTAAATTAAATAAAAACTTCTTTTAATAAAACAAGTTTTCCTTACCTTTCTAATACCTTTTTTGCAATACATCAGCTTATTGTCAAAAATAACAAAGTTTTAACACTGTTGTTTAAAATTTGCTTTTTTTCCCTTTTTTCATTCACATCTTCAGGAAAAGTATTGTCATTTAAATATTTCCTGACATCATTAAAGTAAATATTTTTGTACATCTTGACAAAATAAGCTATATAAATTGCGAACTAAAAAGCCAGTAAAATTATGAGTGAAGTAAAATTTTAACGTTAAAATATTACTGCCTCAGTATAATTATTTTACCGCAAAAGAAGTTTGAACAATTGAAAACTTTTGCGCAGTAAAATTTAAAAGCAGTAATTTAAAAATGTTACACTGTGGGTCACTTCCTACTAGCAAGCATATAAATATTTATTTAGATCTTTTTAGTTTAGTATGTTACTTAATAAATTAAAAAAAAATAAGTTTAGCATATTGTTTTTTTTTCTTTTTAACACACTAGATGACGAAACTACTCTTTATAAATTTATTACTTATGTGCTAAATTTATATTCGTTTTATAATTTATACTATAGAATATTAATATATTTTATCTATATTTTTATACTACAGTTTTGTAATTAGTTTTCTTAATTAATTAGTTTAGCTTGTGAAAAATATTGATTAAATAAAAAAATTGAGTATATTTTAATTTTTATAAACTAAGGTCGTGGTTGGTTGTTGTTTAAAGGATGTTGTAAGTAAATGTTAAAAGGTCTATTGGGATCTAAGAACAGAATTTTGATAGAAAAGTTTTTGCTGTTGCTTTAATTTTATTTTATTTTAATAAGAAAACTTTCAAACTTTTGTTATATTTTTTATGTTGCCTCACTTTGAACATAGCCAAATGAATGTCACATGTGCAAGAAGATCATTTATTTAAAATTAGCACATATTAATTACCAGATATATTTTTAAATAAATTTTGTACAAACTATGTATTATATTCTTTACTGTTACATATTTTTTTTTCTTATTCTTTACTGTTACATATTTTTTTAGAATTGTGTAGAATTCCAGAAACTGGAATTCTACACAATTCTAAACAACAATGGCAGCAACAGAAGTAACAACAGCATGAATAATAGCAAATTTAAAATTAAAAAAGTTTTTGTGATGTCTTTATAGGAGGGTTTTTTATTACAGTTTTGAATTTCTAACAACACCGACAAGATTGTCATCTATGTTAGAGATACTTATGTTATTAACGTGTTTATGTAATCAATTATGTAAACCTGCACATTTTACACAGTAAAGCTTTCTTTTCTTAAGTAGCAAAAAGTTGCATTTAAACTTTTTCTTTTCTTCAAAATAAATAAACATAATACTTATTTTTAATACTTACAAATTTAAATTTTTATAACATCAGCTCATAATAAAGTTTCTATATTTGTTTTAAGTTTTGTGGCAATTTATACATTTATTACATTTAACTTAAAATCAAAAAAATAAATATAAAAAGCAAATAAAAATATTTTTATGTTGTTTCATATCCCATTACATTTATAGGCATTTTATATTCTTAAAAAAACAATTAAATTTTTAACCTTAGGGTTTTCAGGATCCAAATTAAGAGCCAAATCTAAATAATAATGCGCATTCTCAGAATCGCCAATAGCACTAAAAACAGGAAAAAAAAAAAATTCAAGCTTTCATTGTATTTTTTTAAATTTTATTTAAGTTAGTGATTATGAAATCATTTGAAATTAGAAATTTTCTGCAAAAGTTTTACTAACTTGTATGTAGTTCCTAAAGTTTGAATTATTTTCAGATTTTCACTATCAAATTCCAGTGATGTTTTTAATGCATCGATTGCTTTCTGAAAAAAGAAAAACCAATCAGATTATAAAAACAAAAAAACAATTAAGTTAATATAAAGTTTATAAAAATTGTAAAAAAGATAAAAATAATTAATTAAAAACATAAATAATTGAACAATTTATGTTTAAAAACACAGAAAATATTACTAAGAAAACAAAGGAAAAACAAAAACAAAGGTAAAACAAGGTTTAAATACAAAAGGTTTAACTACCTATTTTTTGTTTGATAAAAATAAATCTGGCTGAGAAACATTTGACTGCAAATTATTGATCAAATGCATTCTCTATACTTGATCTGGTCAATCAAGTATAGAAAAGTTTTATATGATGGCATGAGTAGAAACTTGTGAGAAATACTTTCACTTTAATTCTCAATCAACTGAAATTCTTTGTTTCCAAAATAATAAAAAGCAATAACATAATAATTTTATTGTTATTTTTTGTAACATATAATGCAAAATGTAAGTCAAAAATAATAAAGATGTTTGAGCATGTCTCAAACAAGATTAACAATATTAGTTATTACATCACTACTGCAAGTCTTTTAGTACTTGCAGCACTTGCGGTACTTGTAGTAGTTTAGTACTCTTTAGTACTTGCAATAGTGGTGTAATCAGCTTTTTAAACGAGAGGTTCCTAGTTCAATTTATACCACGCCCAGAAGTTTTGTGCAAGCTTAAACGGGTAAGTTATTTTGTCTTGTAGTAAGCTTAATAAACTTCATCATGCAGGCTTTCACATTTCACGTCTTTATATGACCACACAAGTTACATTTTGCTATGACGGTTTGACAGCGGCTAATTCAAAAAACATTTTAGAAACGCACTAAATAAAAAATATTCTAAAAAAGTGAAATTAATTACATCAAAACTTTCTAAATGTTTTTATATTAGCGAAATGATTTTAAATAAAGTAACAATTTACTGAAAAAAAGTTTAGATTTTTAAATATAATTGACAGTTGTATATATTTTTTTAATTTAAAACATATAAATTGTTTAAGTGTTTATTTCTAAAATAAATCTTATTAAAAAAAAAATTGTTTTGTTTTTATAAACGATGACATACTACGACTACGAAAGTCTCTTTAACGAATTTAAATATAAGAATGATTAAAGTTAACGCATTTAAAAAGATAAACAAAATTTTGTTATAAAAAAAAGTTTTAGAAAACTGTTACAATTTAATAAGTTTGATCTTAAATGCTTTTATATTATCGAAACACTTTTAATGAAGTAAAAAAAAAAAACACTTTTAATTAATTTAAAAAAAAGTATTTATAAAATGTTTTTTTATTTTATTTATATAACTATGTATTTTTTATGAGAAATATTTAACTTTTGAACATATTAAACAAATAAAAAATATATACAAATGTTGAAACAAAGATTGAAAAGGTTTTTTAATGCGTAAATTAAATAGACTAAGCATTTTAGTTTGATGAGTTTTGTTTTAGTTGCGTTATATATATATATATATATATATATATATATATTTATTTTTTTGTGTTTTTGCTTTAACTAAGTATTTTTTATTTATTTTCTCTTTTGTTAATATTTATTATTTAAAAAAAATTTTTTTCAGATAAGTTAATTAAGTTTTTGTAGCGCGTTTTTAAATTTTAAAAATATGCTGTGGTCAAATCATTAAAACATTTTTTTTTGCGTGGTCATATAAAGACATGAAATCGCACGCCTTCCTGTGAAAGCCTGTTATGGTACTATTACAATTTTCAGCTTTTCCATCCACAGGGATATTATATGCAGCAGAATGACTTGTTGCAATTCTCTAGTTAATATTGCTTTTACTCTATATTCATGAAAGTTAAACCCCTACCTATCAAGCAAGTTGAGCACTGTACTGGTAGTACAGTGCTCAACTTGCTTTTCAGTGCAGCCACCTTGTTTGCCAAGTGTTTAAGAGTTGAGGGTTGAGTCTAAGAGTTGTAACCACAAAAAATAAATAAAAACTTATTTACACGTAACATTCCCATGTTCAGGTAAGCCATGCCAAGATATTCATATGATACAGCATTATGACCATTGATAAATTTTTGCCCAATTTTTAAATACTCTGTTGCCTGGAAATCTTTCTGAAAAACAAAATATAACAAATTATTTTAAATTAAATAAATTTAACTTTTTAAAATTTTTTCAACACTAAACAAAACACTAGTACTAGCACATTGGTAGTAAACAAAAAAGGGCTTAAATTTGACCAGGGACATGTTTGATAAAGCTGAGTTATTGTAAATGTTTTATAGCTGAGTCAGGGTCCAGGTATGCAGATACAACTTATTTGTAAATTCATAAATTTTTGAATCATTGCCATCATTAATAATTAATAAATTTTCTTACTTCTAGAACCAAGATGTTTATTTTAAGAAAGTTTAACCTTTATAGTTGTGTGTTTAGGTTGATAGTTTTCCATAATGTCTTATATATGATATTATGCAACAGCTTACAAATCTTTTTTACAACAAGATGCCAATGAAAGTTTTCAAAAATATATTAATTTTAGCAGGGTTAAAAATATATCAATTTTAGCAGGGTTAAAACTACAGTCAGTTATTACACAGTAGGTGCAACAGTTAATTTCCATAAACATTTATAAATTTTGAATGGAAAGGTTTTAATATGGAGATTAAGGTAAAACAAAAAAGTCAGTCGATAAAAGATCTTGATGATATCTATGATGTAAAGACACATTTAACTTGTAAGAAAATGTTTAAACTTAATAAGTAAAAAAAAATGGATTAAAATAACTGCATGACTTTCATTAGATATTTATAAACTAAGAATTGTTTAAAGAAGAAATAATAGTGCTTTACTCCAACTGTTAATTTAATCAAATAGGATTAATAAAATTGGAAATGGTAAAAACAAAAATTTTACTATAGTGATTCCAATATTTCAAAGTGACACATGAGTTGAGATCTGTAATATGATCCCAACCATAAAAAACTTTTGGTGCATATTTCTAATTAATGATTAAACAAAAATGATAAAACTTAATAAAAATAAAAAAACATTTTTAATATTAATTTATTTTTTAAATTACATCTTTATGTATGAACATTATGAATAAAAAGTTGTCCAATTTTTACCCATTAATTAATTTTACAGAAGTTTGATTTGAAGCATTAAATTTATTTACATTTTTGTTTAAATTTGCTAACTTGGCACAATTCAAAAACTCAAGTGCAGTTTGTTATTATTGATATTGTATTTATGAAACACGGCTTTAATAATAAAAAATGAATGAAATAAATGAATAAAAAATGAAATGAGTTTAAAATAAGGTAACATCTATAACAACACCTACAACAACAATTATAGTCATAGCAATTTTAGTTTGTCTTATACTTTTTCTCTCAAGATAAACCAATTAAAAAAGCTTATTATAGATAGAAAGAACTGAGACATCCATTGATCTTGAGACTGAGACATCCATTGATCTTGAGACTGAGACATCCATTGATCTTGAGACTGAGACATCTATTGATCTTGAGACTGAGACATCTATTGATCTTGAGACTGAGGCATCCATTGATCTTGAGACTGAGACATCCATTGATCTTGAGACTGAGACATCTATTGATCTTGAGACTGAGGCATCCATTGATCTTGAGACTGAGACATCTATTGATCTTGAGACTGAGACATCTATTGATCTTGAGACTGAGACATCTATTGATCTTGAGACTGAGACATCTATTGATCTTGAGACTGAGACATCCATTGATCTTGAGATTCTTGCTCATAAGACATTTACAGTAACAAAACTACAAATGTGTTACAAATCGATATAGACACTGTTTTATGTTTTTATATTAAAAATTAACATCAATTTTATTTTAAAACAAATTAATGAATTTTAACAACAGAAATATTAAACAACCTTTAACATATTTAATAATATCCCCCAAAAAAAATCAATTTAAAAAAAAAATTAAAACCTCCATTTTATAGGAAATTATACCAGCCATGATGTAAGCAGATCCATCGTGCTTGTATTGCAGATCTTTTTCAGCATCTTTTAATGCATCTTCATACTTACCAGTCAAAAAATGAACCTATCGAGAATTTTTAAAAATGATTTTTTTAAATAAAAAACAACTTTAAATGGAAAAAAAAAAAAAAGGAAAAAAAAAGCACCTAAAAATTGAGAACTTTATTAAAACAAAAAGAAGTTTTGATAAAATAAACGATTCAAATATTTTTAAATCAAGTTTATAAAACATTTTTAAAACATATATATACACATATATACAGTAGCGTGTAGTAGCATTTTATTTATACAGTAGCATTTTTATTTTATTTCACTCAAACATAAAAAGCATAACTAATTCAAATAAAATTATTTTTTCAAACTAATTCAAACAAAATCACATACTAACCTCAGCACGACATCGATATACTAAATAGAAATGAGACTTCAATGACATCACATGATCAAAATCTTTCATGGCACTTTCGGAACTTGCCTTAATCTATAATATGAATTATCTTTTTTTTTTTCAAAAAAGTTTTTTAAACTAAAAAAATTGTTGAGAACTATAGTTAACCTTATTTGCAAGCCTGCCAAGGGAAATTCCCCTTCCAATGTATGCAAATATAGAATCTGGAAAGTGCTATAAAAATAAAATTATTAAGTTCACCAATAAATATAAACAATGTTTAAAAAAAAAATATCAATAAAAATAATGTCCAAAGAAGCAAAAAAATTGTGTAAAATAGAAACATTTATTCTTGATAAGTTGACCATTACTTCTCCCAAGGATAAATAATTTACCGATTTACCGCAATTTACCGATTAAGTAGAGACAACTACTAATCTAAACTCAATGTGCAGTTAAGTGTTAGAAGCGAGGAATGGAATCAGGGAGCTAAACATTCTTCTACAAAGTGGTTTTTGTTGTGATCAAAATTTGAAATTAAGTGAAAATGATTTTCCCCAACTTGCCTACAAAATGATAAAAACATTTTCAAAATTGTATTAAGATCATCATTATTGTAGTTGATTGTAGATGTTGATTGTTAAAATTGTCCATGGCGTGCCAAAACACATACAGCACAGTGATTGGTTTAAATATTCTTTTTAAGATGTGGTGACTAATTGCTACACCATTTTAAAAATATTTGACAAGAAATTGGATTAGAAATTCTAACAAAAATTAAGTAGATTATAAACCAACTTTCCCCTATAAACATCTTTCACATGCCACTATAAACATCTTTCCATTCAGAGAGCTTTTTCATGAGCTACACTGTTTCCTGCTATTGCCATAAAATTCAAAATATTTTACAAGAAAAAAAAAAATTTAAAAGAATAAAACATACATAAAGTGTTACACTTTATGTATGTTTTATTTTTTTACTTGTTAATTACAGCACTCACAAAAAAATATATATTTAATTACATATAAACAAAATTGAACAAATTTCAAATGAAATTTTCTATATTCTTAAAAAAATAACCTGAATGATTGCATCGAAAATCTCAAAACTTTCTTCTGGTGAACAAGCTCGCAATGCATCAAACCCTTGTGCTAGAATAAGCAATTTATAAATAATGTGAAAATTTTTATTTTATAAAGCTTTTTATTTGCTTAACTGATTTTCTACTTGTTTAGTGCAACTTTCATTTGAGGGCTACTGTGCTATTAGCTTTTTAGACCATACTAAATAAATATAAAAAATAAAAATGAAAAATTTCTAACCCTATAAACTAATAAAACCATTAAATAAAAAACTTCTCTACCATACTTACAATTTTGAAACTTATAAATTTATTTTAAGAAAATAAAAAAAACTTTTTTTTTTTTAAACTTTATAAATAATAACAAATTTTGATGTGAAATTATGTTCATGAGAATTCTTTTTTGGCTTGAGATTCAGATATCATTTAAAAATAAACTTTATTTTTCACTTCAATCAGCAAGTAAACAAACAAAAAAAAGTAAATTTATTGTAATATAGCAAAACAATCTTTACTTTTTGTTTTATAGACCAATATGATCATAAAAGCTGCAAAGAAGTATTTCAACACACAGATATATATATATATATATATATATATATATATATATATATATATATATATATATATATATATATATATATATATATATATATATATATATATATATAAGTATTTGTGTTGGAAATTGCATCAGCATCACTTATTTTTAATTTATCAGTGAAAGAAAGTAAACACGAAAGAGTTTAGCATCAATGTTAAAGAATGAAGTACAAATCAACATCAGCAAGTTACCAGTAGCAGGATGATCAATGATGCAGATTTGCTACCAAGAAGAAAAACTTAAAACAAAATTTCATTTTTAGAGAAAAAAAGTTCAACTTATTGAAGAAATAACAGAAGATGGATTTATAAATAAAACAGAAAATATTTTTGAAGGGGTTTTAATGTTGAGCAGTTGTAGAGCAGTGGTTACATTTAGAGGTCTAAAAGTTCAATGCTAGCTTAACATTCTAAATAAAGCGTGTACACAAAATAAATGTGAAAGTAGAAAAATAACTAAAAAAAAGTACTCTTCAATTTTTATTTCTAACCAAGTAATAAATTTAATACAATAATATAAGAAGATCAAATATAAAAAAAAAAATCAAATTATTCCTGTGGGAAGCTTGTGCACAAATAAGAATTGAAGCCATTTGATGCTTTTTTAAATGATATTTTAATATCTTTAATATTTCTGCAAAATTTTTTTGTTTTTTTCATTTTTCTTTTAATGATGGCCCAGTACTTTTCAATAACTCTTAATTCTGGGCAGTTTAGAGGATTTTCTGTTTTAGGCACAAATTTCACATTATTATTTTTATACCATTCCTAGTTTATAGTTATACCATTATAGTTATACCATTCCTAGTTTATAATAATGAATTGAAGCTAAATCTGGCCAGAACACAGATCTCTTATCGTGTGATTTAATGAGAGGTAAAAGGCGTTTTTGTAAACACTCTTTAACATATATTTGACCCGAAAGTGTGGACTGAGAAATATAAGATGCTGATTTTTTGCCACAACTGCAAATAGCTTGCCAAATCAAGACTTTTTTAGCAAACTTGTCATGTTTTATGTATTTAAATTTCGTATCTGCTTTTCCTCTATATTTGGCAATATAATAGACAGCACCAGTAATTTGCTGATGATCGTACTTGATATAAGTTTCATCGTCTTCAATAATACAGAAATTTTTAGAAACAAAATTGTTATACAACTTTCTGCAGCAGTATTTTGCACTTTTTTGTTGAGTTTCAGATCGGTTGGGCACTTTTTGTGCTTTGAAAGAATGAAAACCATGTTTATTTCGAACTTTTACAACAAAACTATGAGAAAGTCCATAAATGTTTGGGCGTTCCCTTAGTGAAAGGCTTGGGTTAGTCTTAAAACCAGTTTTCTAACTAGTTTTTTTATCTTTAAAACCCTTCTTTCTTCCACGACCAGATTTACGTTTGATCAATTTTGTTTGAGAAAAACGTTGGATTACACGACTAACGGTGTATGAATGTATTTGCAACACTTTTGTTATCGAATTGTAGCTACTATTGGGATTTTCCAAATATTTGTGCATAATTTTTTTTCTTATGTCTTCTTCTTTTGTCATTTTTAAAACTAATTTTAAGTTAAATCAAAAAACTAATAGATTTTTTTGAAACCACAACACGTTGTAAACAAAATACAAAACAATTGAAAAGATTTTAATATAACCACTGAAAAAAAATGACGTACTTATTCTTTCACATTTATTTTGTGTACACGCTTTACTTTGTTTGCATATACTTAGCAATAATATTTATACTTAGCAACAAGATTTCAAAATGTAATTTAACAGGAACCAACCCAGACCAGTTTTGATAATGCTGGAGCAGTATGGGTACCCCAAAAAAATGTATTATTTGTTGATTTACTTTTGCTTTTTTTATTAAAAATATGAAAAACTTTTTTTTAGTTACAAACAGAATGATTTAAAAGAATAAATTAAAACTTATAACAAAATTTTATTTAATAACAAGGAATATAACAATAAATTACACAACACTAAATTTATTTAAAAAATATAAGTAGGAGATCTGAAGCTCTTTTATGCAGCAATTTTCATAAAACTTTATTTTGATTTTCTATTTATATTCTTAAAGCTCTGCAAGGGAAACTTTTGACCTTTTTTTGTTTTGTTTTTTAGTGAAATTTAGCATTGCATAATTTATGGACAATCCTTAACAGGATAAACAAATTTTTTTTAAAGGATAAAATGACTTTAAAATATTTATTCAGAGTAAAGTTAACCTTTACTTGTTAGCAATTAAGAATTACCTGTTTTTAATAGTAAATGAATAAAAGTAAAAATTTCTTAATAACAATATAGTAATAAGGCATATTTAATTTTTGAATGAACTTTGAATGAATGAAATAATCTGTAGCTTGCTATTTTATTCTATGTTCAGAAAACAAAAAAAACAACAAACACTTTTTCAAAAAGTTTTGTTTCTCTTCATATTAGGGATGGCTCTTTTACTTGTTTTTATTTTTTATATACACAAGTAAGTTAATTTTTATCAAAAATTAAACTACATAAGTAATTTTAAATGTTTAATGTAAATTTATATTTCCGTATAAAAAATTAATTTTTTTGAAACAACTTTTACTTTATAATGTAGGTTTTTTACTTTCAAAAGTAAGTTATGTAAAATAATATTACATAAAAAAGTAATTTACTTTTACATGTAAAAGTAAGTCATGAAAAAGCTGTTTACTTTTACACTTAAAAGTTAATTACTTTTAAAAATTACATTACATAATATTAAAGTTCCTCAAACTGTAATTTACATTTACCTATAAAAGTAACTAATAAAAAAAAAGTTATAAAAAAACTTGTGTATGAAAATAAATTACATAAAAGTAATATGATGCCAAATGTAAATTAAATTTACAAATAAAAAAATATTTTTTAAGTAGGGATTTTTATTTTAAAAGTAATAACAAATCTTTATTAAAAATAAATTATATAAAATAAATTTTAAATTACATAGGCTTACATTTTATATAATTTGTAAATTAATTTATATAAAATAAGTAAGTAGATTTACTTATATTCTACAATAATTTTGACAGGACCTTGTACAATAGTAATGCAAAAAAGTAAAGTATATACCCATGGGAGACTCATAAAGGGTAGACTATTTGAAATGCATTATTGTTAGTTCTTTTTACAGGTTTTTTTTGCGTAAAAGTTTTTATTATTGAAAAACTAAGGAGGAAAAGTTTAAACCAGTCCTGAATTATTTTTGTAGCCTAACTACAGCAAGGCCAGTGTAAGCAACATTTACTGTCCCTCAAGCAATTAGACCCAGGGCAGTGAGGTTTAGGAACCTCAAGATGTATTTAAAGAGTTTTTTTTTTGTAAAAGTTATTATTCCAGAGAAACAGAAATTGGGCACCTGGACAAGTATGCCTACTGGCCAAAAATATTTTGCTACGCTACTGTGTAATATACATATAACCCGAGCTGTAGCTAAGAATGATTTATACGTAGATTAAGAAATAAAACTTGTGGTGATTGGAGCCTGAAAAAAAAAACCCTAAAACATTTACCATCTCTACTCCAAATGTGAGGACAACAAATTAGCAACTTTTATTTTTTATTTTCTTACACTAAATTTAAGTCAACAGGTTTTAAAATTCAAAATTCAAAGTTTATGATTGTATAAAGTTTACACCCAAACCAAATAAGGTAGTTATTTCAACATTTTTCTAAACATTCTAATTTGATATAAATAAATTTTATTTGCCCAAAGTATATTTATTAACCAAAATCATTGCTTTTTCATAATTATATTAATATTACATCTCAAAATTTACGCAAGTAAACATCATTATATTATTGGTTACAATTAAGTCTTTAAATGAGTTTATTATGGTTTTTAACAACACAACAAAGACCTCATTTGTAGATAACTATATAATAATATTATTAGTTAAAGATGCTGTTAAGTAATTCTAATCGGTTTGGTGATAGAAGGAATTGGTATGTTTTCAAATTATGAAACCTTTTTACATTGCTTTTGACGTGGTATAATACCACGCAATACCACTTGTATTTAAATCAATTTAAATACAAGTGGTACTTAAATTGATTTAAATACAAATGGAATTATATTAGAAAAAGATTTTTCTTTTTCTAAAATAGCATACTAAAACAGGAGAATTTGGTATTTCAGCTACTTATATATTAATTTTTAGGTATATTCCCAAAACTATAACTGTCAACTAAAATAAACTTATTAAACTCAAACTTCAGATAAAAGTATGATCATCAATTTTTAATGACAAGTTTTTAATGACTTTATGTCATTAAAAACTTGTATTATACAAATGATCTTGTAGACTAATATTATACAAATAATATAATTATTGTAAATATTATACAAATGATCTTGAAATTTTCTATGTTATTCTTCGACAAATTTTAAGTCAGCGCCATTTGATTACTTATTCACCAAAATAGTAAAATTACGTTTCGCTTTGAACTTTTGAATGAGGAACGGAATTTGATTGTCAGACGAACTTATAACTTAATTAGAGATAATGTTTTAAATCCCCTAAATAATTGGGGAGATGGCTCAAAATTTATATGGTCATAATTTTTGAACACTAAGATATTATTGCATGATATTAGAAACTTAAATTAGTTAAAAATGTTAAAAAAAAAAAGTATATATAAATGTTATAAACTCGTTACTCTCACGCTAATGGCATAAAAGGGAGGTAAACATTTTAGAGGTTTATTGTTAACAGACTCCAATTATCGCAATACTTTTGAAAAGCTTTACATAAACATGAATATATAAATGATTGGAGTTTGCTCCATGTCGTTACATAAAGTTAAATTCTCAATCAAAAACAAAAAGTTTACTGATTTAGGCCTGATTTAAATATGTGATTGGAATCTGGTTGTTTTAATATTGTGATTTACATTTTTTATTTTTAATTTTTGAAAATTTAAAGTAAAAAAAGTAACAAAAATTTACTGAAAAAAAAGGAACTTGAGATTATTTTGTTTAAATGATGAAATAATATCAAGACACTTTTCTTCAAGATTGACCATACAATTTTAAATTTAAAAGTGTGCTTTTTTGAGCCACCTTACTAAATTCACTAAATAAAATAAAAAAGCAAAACTTTTACTTCTTTAACTTTAATTTTTTTTTTTAATTAATCTTGATGTTATTTAAATCAGTTATTTAAAAGTTTTTTTAAAAGACTGTTTATTGTTCTTGCTTTGGAAATGGCTCTATATTTTAAGGACTGAAGTTCCCGAAAAACGGTTCTTCGGTATTTTTCGGGGAATCGAAAGGAATCGAAGGTTTCGGTTCCTTATCAGAATAGGAATCGAAAAGAGCCGAAGTTATCGGTTCCTTATAAAAAAAGGAATCGAAAAGAACCGAAGTTATCGGTTCCTTATCAAAATATGAATCGAAAAGAATCTAAGTTATCGGTTCTTTATCAGAATAGGAATCAAAAAGAACCGTAAATTAATTACTAACCTTTTTTTTAATAATATACTTCCGTTATAATCAATATTTTCGATTCTTTTCAATATTTTCAATATTTTCGGTAATTTCGATTCTTTGTAATAAAAACGGTAAATTTCAATTATTAATTAAAAAATCGTTTTTATTGTAAAGAATCGTTTTTATTACAAATACGTTTTAATAATGACGTGTTTGTAATAAAAACGGAATGAGTAAACATTTAAGGTAAGTAATGTTTTTTCAATTTTTTCGGTAATTTCGATTCTTTTCAATATTTTCAGAATTTTTGCAATTTAAGTTAATATTAAGTAAAGATTTACTATATAAAAAAATAAAAAAAATAACAATAGTTCTGAATAATTAAATAAACATAAGCACTGATTATTATTTATTATACAGTAACAGCTAACAGTAATACTGTTTGTTACATTTAATTTAATATAGTGCCATCTATAGGAGTTATTTCAATTTTTTCGATTCTTTTCAATATTTTCAATTATTTCGGTAATTTCGATTCCTATCCCTATAATTATTTAATTTAAATCTTTTTTTATACAGATCTCAGCATCCCATTCAAGCCAAAGCTTATATTAAGGCAAAGAATGACAAGGTAGTGCAACTGGCTGCTGACAGGGAGGAAGTTGAAAAGGAGCTTGATAGATCTTCAAGTTTGAGAGGTTTCTTTCCAGCCACAACCACTAGTAAAAAAAGGCTGGATAACCTTAGTAAAAAGTCTCCACCATCCAGTCAGCAAGGTGATCATGAAAAACTTCAAGTAACTCTGGATGAGTATGTTAAGGTGAGAAAAATATTGAAATTTTTTAGTAGCTTAAATAATCGTTTTTATAACATTTTACCATTTTTATTTGTAAATATTCGAATCAAAATCAAGCCCAAATTGGTAAATTGAGAAAAAATATTTCTTCAAAAAAAACTCGGATCTTTTAGGCGCCGTTTGGGCCATGCAGAAAATTTTTTTTCTCAATTTACCAATTCGGGCTTGATTTTGATGAAACTAATGTTAGAAATCTAATTTTATATTAAATTAAAAACTTTTGTGCCATTTTCCAAATTTATAATATACTTTAAAGTTTAATAACTCTGTAAATTAATAAAAAGTTAAATTTCCACACTAGACAACAATTTAATGATTCCAAATTAATGTCCTTTTTGCTCTAAACTCAATATTAACAAAGTTATTGAGGTTAAAAGTTTTTGATTTGACCTGTCATCTAACACGTGCATGTAGATTTAGTAAACACGTGTTTTTCAAACGTTTCAAAACATTAAAGGCTTTTAACTTTAAACTTCTTTGTTTTAATAGATAGAGTGATTAGCACTGTCTCTAGAAACTGCAACAACTTACCCATATATATTAGGTTGTCAGGTCTTGTTTAACGTAATTTCGATTCCTTGCGGTAATTTCGATAATTTCGATTCCTTTCGATATTTAACATTTTTTTTATTATTTCAGATAACTAAATGGGATTCACAAAGCAGCTGTCAGCTTGATTTTGATACAGTTCTCACTCTGGCCTGCATCATGTCAAATCTTCCTTTCAATATTGTGGAAACTCCAGGAATGAAGTTGCTCTTGAACTATTTGGCACCAAAAGCAATCATAAAAACACCAAAAACACTTGCTACAACAAAGCTTGACATGATTCATCGTAATGTTGAAAAAGCAATAACCAATCAACTTGAGGAAGAAGTACCAGAATGTGAAAGTGTAGCTTTTACATCAAATGGTTGGACTGCAAAAAATGGTGATCCTTTTGAATCTCTCACACTCCATTACATCAACAGTGATTTTGAGTTGAAAAAGTACAGTTTGGACTGCCAGGCTCATTTAAATAGGAAAACAGGTTCTTTACTTGCTAAAGGATTAGACACTATGATTTCAAAATAAGTCTTGGCAAGGCCTGACCTAGAAAGAACATGTGTGACTGATGGTGCAGCTAACATGAAGGCAGCTGTCAGTTTAGCAACTTTATTGGACAAGCAATTGGTGTGTGTTGATCACATGTTGAACAATTGTTTGAAAGACACATTAGGAAATGGTGAGGTTAAGGTAATTGTTGATAAGTGCAAGAGACTTGCTCAAAGGACACATCAAAGCACTAAGGATTGGTATGAAATCAAACAAGAATGTGAATCTCTAGGGTGTAATCCAATCAAGCTAATCCAACCAGTGCAAACAAGATGGAATTCAAATGCAATGCTGTTCAAGTCAGTATTAAGAAATGAGCAAGGTTTGAAATCTGTCAGAGATAACAGCCTGAATGCAAACTTGACAATACTTATACCAAGTGATGAAGATTTTCAAGTAATTGCAGAACTTCATCCTTTTTTTGGCAAAATGTCAAGAATACTCAGAGATTTGGTCCTCAGATAAAACACCTACAGTTCACAAGATCCAGCAATACCTCTTTTCATTGATTACTATGTGCCATAGGACAGTTACACAAAATACTTCAGGTAAAAAATATTTTTTTGTGATTCTTTCGATTCTTACTAATAATTTCCATGATTATCAACAAATTATGCAATTTTGATTATTTATTCATTTTTCTCTTTTCCAGGTTCAAGAATTGCTAAAGATGCAATGACCAGGTTTATAGAATACTTGGAAACTAGGATTCCAGATAAAGGCACTGAAGTTAATGACTTTAATCTTGCAAGTGTGTCTGATCCATTTTATAGAGGTTATTCTATCACATTAATCAAGGGCAACAAAGATCATTTAGATGGAATAATAGACCAACTGGTAGATAATCATCCAACTACCAGAGAAAACAACGAGACTTATGAGGCTTCATTACCTTCTGCAATGTCAAACTTAGATGAAGATATGGATGATTTTGAGAGAATGGCCATGGAAAATGATGGAAATGATGCACCAACTTTGGCAGGACCATCAGAGCCTCCTCTGAAGGTAGATATTCATTTTTATTAATAATAATTTCGATTCTTATAAATATTTCCGATACTTATAAATATCGATTCCTATACACATTTTCGATTCTTATACACATTTTAGATACTTTGCGGTAAATTCAAATTCAAATTTTTTTTTTAGATGAAATTTAAGAGGTACTTGTCTATGCAAAAGCCAGCTAAGGATGTGAAGGTTTTGGAATGGTGGAAGGTCAATCAAAAGGAACTGCCATTACTAGCTGCTATGGCAAAGTACTTGTGTCCACCAGTGACTTCATGCTCTTCAGAAAGGCTATTTTCATTAGGAGGAAATATTATTAGTGATAAAAGACACAATATGAAGCCAGAGACCCTTCAAAAAATAATGTTCATAAAAGATACTTTCCACTAGTCAAATCAAAAATAAGGTCCTGGGACAAAAAATGCCCTGGTGAACCAGGCTATCAGTCTCAACCTCTACCATCCACCTCTCAAGATCAACCTCTACCATCCACCTCTCAAAATCAACCTCTATCATCAACTTTACAGACTCAACCTCTACCATCACCTTCTCATCAATCATCAATGAAAAATCATCAAATTATCAATGAAAAAAAACCCTATATAAGATGCATCTAAAGATTTATTTAATACTGAAGCTAGTGATAGTATTACTAGCGTAGCTTATAGCAGTGCTAGTAGTAGTCGCAATGGCAGCAAGGACAGTGTCACTGATCTCACTGATAGTGATTTAGAATAACTGTATTTTTCAACTGTATTTCAACTGTATTTTTGAAAATAAAAATTAAAAAAATTCAAGTTTTTCAATTCTTAGTAACAATTTCGATTCTTTGTAGCATTTTCGATTTTTTGCGATATTTCCCGCTAAGAACCGAAATTGGAACCAAAATTTACGGTAATTTCGATTATTGCCTAAAATTAGGAATCGAAAAGAACCGAAGTTATCGGTTCTTATCAAAATCAGAATCGAAATTTACCGTAATAACGATTCTTTCTTAAAATAAGGAATCGAAATTTACCGTAATAACGATTCTTGCCTAAAATAAGGAATCGAAAAGAACTGAAGTTATCAGTTTCTTTTCAAATTAGGAACCGAAATTTACCGAAGGAACCATTTTTCGGGAACTTCAGTCTCTACTATATTTTGCAATTTTATTCTAAATTTTGTATTTTGGCTTCTTTTATTCAGCGTGAGTTAAAAATCTAACCAAAATGAAAGTTACTTCTGGAAATGACTAACTGGAATAATTGTTGTCTGGAATAGACTAATTAAAATTAGTTCATTCCAGACATTAATAGCTTATAATAAATAAAATTTAAAAAAAATTTAAAAATGTTCATTTCTGTTAGAGTGATTGTTACGACCAGGGCCATCCCAAATGGGGGATGTAGGGAGTATCCCCTTCCTCTAAGTTGTTATATATGCATTTTAATAAGCACATTGTACATTTAGCATTTCAGTTGGCTAGTTTTGAAGTATAGTTGGCAAATGTTAAATATTGAGGACCTTTTTTGTGTGTGTGTCTCTAGTTGGTTAAAAATACACATGACACAGCCCCCTCCCCCATGAGAGACCTTTTCGGAATGGCCCTGACAACAACCAAGCTGAATAAGAGAAGCAAAAAGCAGCAGCATAACTACAAATACGCCCAGCTCCTTTACAGTAAACTTTTATCATGGCCACTAACCTATTTCTTCCCGACAAAAAAAATTTATTTGTTTTAGTATTAACTTTTTTCAAAAAATCTTTCTTTCTAAAAAGTTATAAACCCCAACATTAAAGAAAAACAAAATATAAGAGGAAAAAAAAAAGGTATGACCCCTTTTGCCCAGGAAACAAATTTAACATCCATTTTTATCTGGACTACACAAATGCTGCCAAGATAAAGTAAAATCAAAGTAAAGTCTGAAAGATAAAAAAAAATCAAAAAAAAAAAAAAAAAAAAGATTCAAAAAAGTAAAGTTCTTCATTTGGCTCTGAAAACAATTTTAAGATGTACTTTTATTAAATTTACATAAATGCTGGAAGTTTTAGAGTTTTAGCTAGTCTGGAAGGTAGTGAAAAATCGATTGCAAGATTCCAGACAACTGATAGCCGACAAACAAATTGTAAAGTCAAACTAATATTTGAAAAAACATTAGTTTGACTTCACCTTGTGCGGGTTGGACAAAAAGGAGGTTATTAGGGTGCCCACAACCTATAGTAGAAGATTGAACAGCTTTCTTTACCATCTTTTTTAAAATAGATTATATATGATAAAACACAATAAAAGATTATACCTTTCAACCCTCGGAGTTAGGAAAATTGAGTTTGGGAATAATTTGCAGACCTCAATATTTTATAGGTCAGCATCAGGTCGGCAAATAAAATTTGATACAAAGGTCTTACCATAAAACATCGAAACGAGGTCATCGATTTTTTGCCGACCTCAAACACTTTTAGGTCGGCATTGCTGAATGTTGACCCTAATTCTGAAGGTTGATCTTTTATAAACACTCCTTTAATTATATAAATTATATCAGATAGTTTAAATGACTTATAATTTTTTGAAAACTGTGTTAGCAGTTGGTGTCCTTGATACCAAAAATGTTATATTGTGTCATATTACCATAACAAAATACTTGATTGAAAAGGATAATACAAACAAACAAGAAAAAGTGCGCTCTAACGAACAGTGACTTAGTCAAGGTTTACACATACATGAATTACCCATAGCTTAGAAATTATGACTCCTTCCCCCCTCCTTTCTCTGCCAAAGTTTCATTATGGCCACTAACCTATTTCTGCTCAACAAAAAAATTAAAAAAATTAAAAAAAAATCAATGATTATTTGGCAGCCCTTATAAGCACTCATGCAGCAGGGCTGCCCGAGCCCGACTCTACTGGTATACCCGCATGTTGACTATATTTACCCCTAGTTATAATAGAACTACCCTTAATGATATACATTAAAAAAATCCTTTCCCGATGCCCCACCACAAATACTGCCCACATACATCAGAGTATTACCTGAAATATTACCCAGAAGTGCGCTCAAACACGCAACGGATTTGAATACGCTACCTATCTCAAAATTTACATTAAAACAACATGAAATAACTGCTCTTTGAGAAAGTAAATAATATAACTTACATTTTACTTACAAAGTAAAATATAAAATTTCAAAGTAAAAATTTATTTTTATTTGAAAAAGTAAATAACAATTTTTTTCAAAGGACTTTTATGTAAGCTGTTATTGCTAATTAGTTACTTTTACGCATAAAAGTAGTTTGTTGTTATGATCTAGTTTCATTTTACTTTGTAAAGTGTTATGTGTTTTAAATATTATATTTACGTAAGTTTACTTTAATAATAAATAAATAACTTTTTTTATATTTATAAAAAATTAATTAAATTTCGATGTATATTTTTTACATAATTATAACTAAAATCACTTTTCAAAGTAAATTACTTTACACAACTTACCATTAAAAGTGAGTTAGATTAAGTAAAAGTAAAAATACAAATAACTTTTACTTGTAAAAATTACTTTTTCAAGTAAGAGTTACTCATTTAAAAAACTTAACTTTAGTAATTAAGTTTTACATGTTATATAATTTATGTATAAAAAAAAAGAATTACTTTTAAATGTAAGAAAATTATATATTTTTATATGAGTTATGTAAAGTAATTTATGCTTAAAAGTAACTCGAGTTTTTACATTGAAATAAGTAAAAGTGCCATCCCTATTTCATATTCTTTTCAATTTTAATGATAACAAAAATAACAATACATAAAAAAGTTTTATTAAGTTATTTTTAAACTTTAATATCTTTAATTTAAAAAAAAAATGTATAGAAAATGTAAATTATTTAATGTACACAACTTTATATATATATATATATATATATATATATATATATATATATATATATATATATATATATATATATATATATATATATATATATATATATATATATATATATATATTAATGATTAAGTTTATTTTGTAACTATCTTTTTTATTTAAAAAGAGCCTTAAAGCACTGCTAAATTTATTACCCTTTAGTCAAAGTTAATGAACAGATTTGATCAAAAAGAGAATTAAAATAATTTACAGTTATAAAACCTTTTTTCTTAGTATGTAAATAATTTTTTTAATATAGACAAAACTATTGGAATAAAAAACATAAGCGTTTAATAAGTGTAAATAATTTTTAATTTTGCAAATACTACACTATTTTTAAATATTGATTAAAAATTATTTAAAGCATTTTAAATGTTACTAAATTAAAATTACTAAAATATAATTACTAAATGTTTAAAACACTTTAAACAATAATAATTTTAAACAATAATATAATATTCAATTAATATTTACAAATAGCATAGTATTTGCAACATTACTGTTTGTTAAAATCAGAAAAAAAATAATTTTTCTAAGTGTAACATATAAAGTAACATATACTTACATCCACCGCTAAATTTATGTATTTAAAGAAATGTCTTTGAGAACGAAATGCTATTTTAAATACACTAGGGGAGACTAGTTCTCCTAAGGACACTTTTAGGTCAATGAGTGTAATTTTTCATTGGTGAATATAATTGAACTTTTGAAAACTGTATATGAAAATATGGTCCTTTGTGCACTTTTGATGAGAATCTCTGCTTTACAATTTTTTAGTATATTTTTTTAGCCACAAAATGAAGTCTGACTTTGTCCCTAGGTACAACATAGGGTTGTACCTAGGGACATAGGTAGTTGTACCTAGGGACGCTGGGTAATTGAATACTCAGATTGGCTTCTATTGAGCTAATAATTATAAATAAAAAAGAACCTGTAAAAAATCCTGAAAGGAAACTAAAACAATGATATAAATCGTTAAAAGAAACATTTATTAGTAGTGAAGGTAACAATATTATTTAAAATAGTTAACACTAATAAATAAAAAATAGTAAGATGAATTTTTCCGAAACAAACAAATATTTAAATTGTAAATAAACATTATATTTAAAATAGTTAACACTAGTAGATGAAAAAAAAGTGATATCAATTTTTCCAGTACAAAAAATAATTGAATTGAGAAGCAGCAATACATTGTTTAACCAAGACTAGTTCATTGGGTTGTGGGTTTGTGGGTTTGAATAGTTCTTGGGTTGTCTTTTTTGTTTTCAATTTATATTTTTTAGAAACTTTATTTTTTGGCAGTATTTCCTGTTTTTGTTTTTTTTGATTTATCGTTACAAGTTGATTTTATTTTGATTATCGTTACAAGTTGTTTTCTTTCTTTTTCTCTCCTCTATTTCATTTTTTTCTGGCATTTCAGTAACGATACGTGCTCTACCCTTACAGGAAGGTTTATTGTTTGTCCTTGGACCAATTTTAGGTAATGGCATTTAATCGAAAGGAGACAGATTTCAGATTTGTACAATCAGATTTTGGTGGTGTAGAAAGAAGTGAGCCCTGAGACAATGTAGGCGGGTTATTATCTTCTGATGTAAGTGGTCTATCAGTCATACTTGATAGCAAAAGTGAGCCCTGAGATGATGTAGATGGGTTATTATCATCTGATGTTAGTGGTCTATCAGTCACGCTTGATAGCAAAAAGTCTTCTGAAAATATATCAGGATTCAGTGAAGAGGCCACAAACTTTAAAACCATTTATTATATTGGATGGTGTAAACGCTTGTGTATGCCACTCCAGCTAGTTCTGCAATGTGATAAATAGTAATAGGCTTTTCTGTGTTTTTTCTGATGATATCATAAAATTGATTACAGCGTTATTGTAATGTGTTTTAAATGGACTAAAGACGGTTCTATCTAACGGCTGCATCTTATGTGTAGTATGCGGGTGAAATGTCACCAAATGAATGCCATTTTATTTGGCTTTGCCAATAGCATCTATAGAAATGTGACTCGCGATTTTCCATTAATAAAACTACCTGGTTATCTTTACTTGGATGAGCATGCGCTATAATATGATCCAAAAATTCACTAAATGTCTTTTCGTTCGACCAACCAGAGGGATCAGCTGTAATTGATCCTATAGGAGTTCCTCTCATCATTATCATTTGTATACATTTGACTCGAGGAAAAATGAACATAGGTGGAATCGAAGTTCCTATCGCATTTACAGCGGCAATCATCGTTACATTGATGCCTCGCTCACCTGAAGTCATTGCTTCCACTTGTTTGACTCTTCACAATTACTTTTGGACAAGTCTGCACAGGTAAAACTCTCATCTCATCTACATTATAAATCCTTGACGGATCGAAGTGGTGTCATTGTAGAATGTTGGTGTATATATTGAAAAAATTCTTCACATTTTCCCAATTGAATGAAGTAGCCCGACCCAAACTAGTACCTTTAGGTTTCCTTAACGATATAACTTCTTTAAACTTGTTTTTGAATGTACGCAGCCATTTACTGCCCACTTCTTGATATGTTTCCCACTGTTTAGGATATTTGTTATTGTTTATTTTGGCAAATTGAAAAACTAGTTCTTTCAGCTTCTTTGTTGTTAATCCGAAATGAAGTTGAGAAAACTTTCCAATGTGCATTTTTTTATACAAATTGTTTCATACAAGTAATTTTCAGGTCCAGATTCCTTAAATTTTTTGACTTACCGGCAAAGCATCAATCTCAATATTCCATATTTTTTTGCTGCTGTATTTTTATTTGCACTATTTCCTTCACAGCCTTCTCCACAACTTCTTTATCTGGATCTTGCCAGATTTTTTGTTTATTGCTGCGCGGAATGATGAACAAAATCTAGAATGAAATAAAAAAATACTAAAGATAACTTATAACTATAACTTTGATTATTTATTATTATTGGCACTTAAATTAAATTGAATTACAACTAATATTTCCTATTATTTACTGTACAACAAGTCACAATTATATTATTTATTACACCACGATTCATAAATGAATTATTTATTAAATAAAAACATAAATAATTCCTAATGAACAGAAGTTCGGTACTCTGTTGTACCATGGAAGTATAAAACAGACGAAAGTTTAAACACATTGAAATTCTTTGGGAATATGCTTGTAGGCCTAATTTTTTGTTTCGTAAACAATAAGAAAATGGCATCAAGACTGTACTTAAACACTTAATCTTTATACATTGACCCAAATAGGTAAGTTTATAATAATTTAAAAATAGAGTATTTTGAAGGTTCACTGATAATATTCAAGAAAAACATTTAAAATGGCGCAACGAAACGGCAAACAACAACTTTTTAATAAACTTTATATTAAATGAATGGAGTACTACAAGAATGAATGGAATTATGAAATACAGCTAATGAAACTTTAAACTTTAGTTATTGAGAAAATAATTTTTTTGATTTTTTAAAAATTGTTTTAGTTGTCTTTTTAATTAAATATCCTGTTATGACTTGAAGCAAGAAAAGAAGCTTAAACTAAGATATGCTTTTAAAATAAAGTGATTCTATTTAATTACAGAGTTTTAATAAGCCTTTTGCTAAATAATTGCAATTACTAAATGTTAAAACTTTGCAGCATATTCCTAGAATAATTCATTTTTTGATGTATTAATAAAAATCATTTCAGTGAATTAAAAACCTAGGAAATATGTCCCTAGGTACATGTCCCTCGATACAACAGGACGCCAAATTGACAAAAAACGCCGACTAAAAATTTGAGGTTAGGATTTGAGAGATATTATTAATGCAATATTGTTTGTATGCGTATAAACTAAGAAATATTTTGTTAAATACATTATAAGGGCAACATTAAAAAAGAAAAATATTGAAAAACTTACGTAAAAGGGTTGTAAAATCAATTTTTAATCGCCACTTTGCAATGCTTCACACCAACACGATGACACTTCGGCTGTCAACTGACCTCAAGAGATGGAGTGTTGCCACATGCAAAAAATATTATGCTCTCACACAAAATTCTCAAAATATTTAAGTGTCCCTAGGTACATGGCGTCCCTAGGAGAACCAGGAGAACACAAAATACATCAAATTTAGCCTAAAAGTTTAGATTAACTGTTTATTTATTTATTTATTTAGTGTATGGCATGAAACTTTAAGTACTATTAAAAATTTTATTTTTTATTTAAACAAAATGTAAATATTTATTGCTCTATTATTGTAATATTAAGCACTATTATTATTAGAAGCACTTGTTTTGCATGAGTTTATATGCAATACATTCATAATTAAACATAGATGTATGAACTTTATTGAAGAGACTTTTTATCTACATCAAATTTGTATTTATTTTTAATGTATAGGATCATAATGATTAAACAAACAAAAACTACTTTTAGTTTGTGCTTGTTTAATCATTATGACATACACACACACACACACACACACACACACACACACACACACACACACACACACACACACACAAACGCACACACACATATATACAGGCTTAAAAACAACATCAAATGGTAAATAAACCAAATTTAAATGTTACCTAACTCCTGAATAGTTGTAGAATCAGCTTCTGTTCCATAACTAGCAACAAGTTTAATAAAATCACTAGACTAAAAAATTGATTTAGATAAATTTTTAGTAAAAAATTATAATTGTTACAAATATTACAAATTTATAAACATAAAGATAAGTACATTATAGCAAAGTTCAATCTATTTACTATCAATGTGTGTACTGAAGCTCCCACCAATTGTTATTTCTGTATAACATCAGAGTATGGTCATGTAGACAAGTCTGCAATATAAAACATACATATATATCATTTACTGCGTACTTGCATGCACATGAAACACCATAGATGATGTCATATTAATAAAAAAAGCTTAAGTACATACATGGGTACATGCTAATAAGTCTAGAAAATAATTTACTATTGTGCTGACCTTAACATGCAGTAGCAGATATATATGCATGCATGTAGGTATGAGCATGTGTGTATGTATGTATGTATGTATGTATGTATGTATGTATGTATGTATGTATGTATGTATGTATGTATGTATGTATGTATGTATGTATGTATGTATGTATGTATATATGTCAGTGTTAGCCAGTTTAATGGCACTGCATGTAACACAGAATTCCCAATTGATTTAAAATTCCCTAAAGGTTCTAAAGATCAAATTAAAAAAAAAAAAAAAAACAATATTAGGCTCAGATATGAGGAGTAACGCTAGACATGAAGAAAAAGTAATTAGTACAACAAAAAAAAATTAATTTTGTTGATCAATTTAAAAAAAAAAAAGCGTTGTCATTAACAAGCAAGATCATCATTCAAAAAATAAAAAAACTTTATTTCTGAATTGACGTCAGTTATTCTCTAGTTTAGATTTTTTTAATATGTTTAATAAATTATTATTTTTATTTATTATTATTTTTATTTATTATTATTTTTATTTATTATTATTATTTAAAAACTTGTTATTTACATTTTTACTTGTTTTTTTAATAAGTTCCTAATGTTTTTATATTAAAAAAATTAAAAACTTTCGGTAAACTAGTAAAGTACATTGAAAGTAATAACAACAAATGAAAAATAAAACTTATGAAAAAATGAAACATATTATTTATGTTATATTTGCATAAAACATAAAAGAAGATAATTAAATATGCATAAATTTTTATAATATTCTTCTATTTTATTTAAAAATTTAAAAAGTTTAATTTATAAAAATAATATTTATAAATACAAAAATTAATTTTTTTTAAACTTACAAATACAAAATTTAGATCAATTTTGAATTTGTAAATTAAGAAAAAAATTATTTTTTGTATTTAATTATTTTTTTAAATTTAAATACATTAGTACATAAATAAACAGTATACTAAATACTTAAATGCGCCAATTAAATTTATTACTGCTTGGTGAATCTCACTCTGCCCCTTAAATGCATTTGTTGCTTCTTGAAATTAATTCTAAAATAGCATATCGCAACAAAAGTTCTTTGTTACTAATATTCTATTTGATAGAAATTAGGAGCCAAGGAAGTTTCTCATTTAATCGATTTAAATAAGTTTTATAACTTATTTATATCAATATAACTTTTCGCTGACAATATTTTAAAACTTTAAACATTATATTTAAAATAATTTAAAATAATTTTAAAAACATTTTAAAATAATTTTAAATCATTATAAATATTCTTATTTTTTCACTTAAAACTTAAAAAATTTCATAATAAAAATTATAATATAAAATTAGATAAACAAAAGTACTAATCTATGTAAAAAAGTTTAAAAAATTTTAGTTTTTTAAAACTTTTAGTTTCAAAATAAAATTATCTGATAATATGAATACGCTAATTTAATATTATTATTAGTTGAGTTACGTCATTTTGTAGGCTTTTCTATTTTAAAGTAGTTTCTAGGCTTTTCTATACGTTGTATATGGTTTTTTTTTTTAATTTTATTTACTAACAATGCGTAATACGGGTTGCTTACTGCTAGTTATTATAAATATTATAAAATTATATTATAAAGTTATACCAAATTATAAAATCATCTTATAAATATTATAAAAATTAAAATATATTTAAGATTTTATTTTAAAACATTTACTTTTAAAAAACTATCAAATTTCCAATGCAAAATCCGCAAAAAAGGTTTTGTTTAATTTAATACAATAAATAGATTTTTTTTTACATTTATAATATAAAAATGAAAATAAATATAAAAGAAGGATTGCTTGCATATGCAATATGCAAGCAATCAATTATATCAATCAAATAACTTGCATATTGCATAGTTTAAAGGATTGCTTGCATATGCAAGCAATCCTTTAAACTTTTTAAAACTGTATTTAAAAGCAATGTACGCAATTAAGAGAAGCAATTTAAATATGAAAAATTTTTAGAAGATTGCTCAAAATGAAACGAGTTGAATTATTATAATTTAACATATATAAAATATAAAAATATTATTCCTAGAAATAATCCACAAACAAAAAAACAAAAACAAAAAAATCATTTCAAGGATGATTTTTAATAATATATATTTATGTATATATTTTTAATGTATATATTTATGTATATGTATATTAGGGTGGTCCTTAAATATAATTTTTTTAGAAATGTTTGCTCCTGCCCATAATACATACTTTTACATAATAAAATAACATAAGATTTAAAAAATTTTTGAATAAAAAAATATTCTCCAAGACCCTTAAATTAGGGACATTATCAAATCATTATTATAAAAAAAAAAATCATTATTATCAAAAAAAAGTTTTTTAAGTATGTAATGTTGGGTCTCAAATAAAGCAAAATTATATGAAAATTTTAAAAATATGAATCATTTTATAAAAAAAAATGGAAAAAAAATTATAATCAAAAAAACTAATAAAAAGAATTTTTTAAACCTTTAGTTAAAAAAAAAAGTTATGTTTTATGCCCAAAAATTCAGAACAATAATTTAATTACAAAATGGTTCGTATTTTTGATATATATATATATATATATATATATATATATATATATATATATATATATATATATATATATATATATATATATATATATATATATACACACACACACACACACCAATAGTAAAGATCTTAAACTAAAAACAACTTTTAACTTCTCTATGACATGTAGCAAGACAAAATTGAATACAGATTATGTCAAAAGATAATAATTTAAATGAGGAAACTAATTAAATTAAATATAAACACCAATTTAAAAAATTTTTATAAAAAATTTAAATTAACTTTAAGTTGATTATATATCTAGGCATACCGTATGAAAATGTTTATTTTTGTCTTGTTGTACTAACATCTGTGATTATATATAAAAACTATTCTTATTCTATAAAAAAGTTACCATTTTAATTTTGATAATGTAAATATATTAATGTATCATACCATGCAAATTTAATATCAGACTTCGAATGCTAATAAAAATAAGCAATCTATCAAGATTATTTACTTAATTAAGCATTTGAATATTATGTAGTAATTAAGTCTTACATTGTTTGTTTGATTTATCAAAAAAATAAACATTGCAAGTATGTCCATATTAAAAAAAAGCCTTATACTGAACTTAATTTCAAGGAAAATTTAAAAATTTTCAAATTATTATTATTTTTGGAGTTTCCCAGACTCCATTCACCTGATGATTCGTAATTTATTTATTTGTAATTAATTTTTTAACAGCATTTTTTTTTTTAATTACATTATTTATTCATCTAGATATTTTCATATAGCACTATATCAGAAACTTGCAAAATTCTTTAATATGCTCTGATTTTTAAGTTCAATTTTTAGACATAATCTTATGGCAAAAGAATTATCTTTTTCCATTTTACTAATTTGGTTCAGAAGTTTAAATAAATGGGTGACTAAGGCTTTATTTCTACCCCCTGTATGGAGAGCCTAATCATAATTCTTTTTGTTCTTCCTGTTGATTACCAACAAGAAAAAAAAATTCACTTAATAATTTAAAGATATCCTTTCTTTTTATACATATATATATGTATGTATATATAGGTATTATGGTGCTTTAAAAATCACTACTCAGTGTTGTTAATTTGGTGTGGTTATTTTTTGTGTTAATCTATTTTTAGATTCTAACTCGGAAAAGATTTATATAAAATTTCTCTTTATTTGAGTAGTAAGTTGACCTTTTTAATATAAACATTTTAGGGACCATTTAAACAATATTAGGGATCTGTTGAATAGAAAATGAGCTTAAGTATGAACGAAATATTGAACAATTAAACTTAAATTAGACTTGAAACTTCAAATTGTGTTCCTGGGATTATTAAATCATTTCTTTCTAACTGCTTTATTATAATCATTGTCAAGGCCTACTTATTAAAACATTTTAGGGACCATTTGAATAGAAAATGAGCTTAAGTTTGAACTAAATATTGGACAATTAAACTTAAATTAGACTTCATTTGTTTATCTGGGATTATCAAATCATTGAAAATCATTGTCAAAGGCCTACTTATTTATTTTCAGTAACTTCTGGGGTATCTCAAGGTTCTATTCTTGGTCCTGTTTTGTTTCTTATCTACATTATTGATCTTCCCAACAACCCTACATCTATAGTAGCTCTTTTTGCTGATGATTGCTCAAGTTTTTACTCCTGTCTTGACAAAAAGTCTTCTCTTTTTGATGGCTTAAAACAGGCAGCCAATTTTGAATCTGATCTTACTTCTGTAACAGATTGGGGCTCACATATTTTAGCTTACAAATTTTAATTCCAACAAAACTCAGTTATTTATTGCAAACTACCACAATACTGTCGACATTCCTATATTAATAAATGGTAACCCTCTTACTGAGTCCTCCTTTTTACATCTTCTTGCAATATTATTTGCTACTGACATTTCATGTAAACAAAATATACAATCGATTGCTAAATTAGCATCCTTTTATCATTATCGGCATTTTCTTACCCTTGATTCCATTCTCTACCTCTACATATATCTTTTTGTCCTTGAAACCATTTCAACATCAATATACAAATAAGCAATACTTGGTTATATAGCTGGTTATATTGTCAAAACTCTTAAAAACAAAATAACTTGTTGTATATGTGCTGAAGCACTTAATCAACCAGTTTATATATTTTGTGATCATAACTACTCAATATTTTACAAATCATCTTGGTTATCCTTAATAAATTTAAAGAATCATGGTAGATTAAATATACCGTCTATTACTGTATATTATGCTAAGTCTCATTCATTAGTTGTTAAATTTTATTAAGTATAATAAATGTAAATAA